AGTAGCTTAGTGTGGCATGACAATAATGTTCACGCGATGATGATGATGATGATGATGATGACGACGAGTCTATCTCCAAGAGATGCGTACCACCGAAAAATTAAAGCCCCCCCGGGGGGGGGGGGGGNGGGGGGGGGGGGGGGGGGGGGGGGGGGGGGGGGGGGGGGGGGGGGGGGGGGGGGGGGGGGGGGGTTGAGGGGGAAGCATCGAATAGAATAATGAATCTTCCCGTGACGAACGATTGTGACGATACTAGTGATGATGAGATTGTCGACGTGTTCGCCCCTTGTCCCACAAAATAAATAACTGCCGGCCACATGAAGTGTAATCCTCACGAAGGCGGGGGTGGCGGCTTTGCGAAGGAGGGAAAGACGTTTCTTGCGACGAGTTGTCCGTTTTGCACGAAATATCACGGCAGACACTGGCGTCCGCGGATATCAGAGCCAAATCCGACTTCTACCGCTAATAATCCATGCCAGCGAGGCCTGTTCGTGAGAGTGCTGTATCACATCGAGGAACGTCACACCGACACGAGTTTCACCGCAACCTTGTGGCTGTAATCTTCTCTTCTGCCTTTTTGGTGCTTCAAGCGTACCAGGTCCCTGCAAGCAGGTGTCAAGCTGCACTTCTCGCTACCGACTCGGCTTTCGCCTTCGACGGTGCTGTCCAATTCATCCGCCCCTCGGCACCTGTCGCACGTGATGTGGCTTTGTCGCCGGCATCAAGGCGTGTTTCTCTCAAAGGTACAGACAGAGCCCGCGCTTGAGACCTTGACCGCGAACAGCTTCATGATCGACACCACACCAAACCATCAGCACTTGAGCACGATCGGTGAGCCCGGTCAAGCACCCGTGCACAAACACCAACACAGCGGCCAGTGGTGTTAATAGCCAGCTCACAAGAGCAAGCAAAGAACCCCAGGCAAGCCCAAAAGTACAAAGAGGCTCTTTACGTGCGGCCGCTATCTGCAACTACGGATCTTCCCTCCCACGCCAAAGCCAGAGGTTCATAAGTGCGCGCGCTCTCTAGCTACGATCTTTCCTTCCCAGTGCCGGCACGACCCTTGGGATCCTTTCATGTCACCCCAAAGCTAAGGGTTCTTAAGTGCAGGTGCTCCATATCCTTGCGAGTCTCCGCTCTCACCCCTAAACTAGAGGTTCTTAAGCGCGGCCGCTCTGTAGCTACGATTTCTCCCTCTCGGTGCCGGCGCTTTCCTCACAATCCTTTCCTCTCATCCCAAAACTAGAGGTTTCCAAGCGCGGGTGCCATTCGTACTATTCTTCCCCCTCACCAGGTATTCATCAACCGAGTTGGGGTACTCCTTCTGGTAGGTGATGGAGAAGACCTGGGCCCTCGAGGCCTCCTTCAGGACGATGCGCCTCTCTTCCTCCTTCACGTGGTCGATCTCGATGCGCCCGACCCCACCGTCTCCCGCTTCTGTCGTTTGCGACTGAAATACAAGAGAAGCGTTTCAGGTCTTGCTGACGGCACCTTGTTTGTAAACTACTGTGGAGGTCGTCATTTTCATTGGCAGCATCACTTCTTCGTTGTTGTTGGTTTATTGTTGTTTGTGATTGCTCTTGCTGCTGCCTTGTTGCTCACGTCTTCTGGCATCAAGACTGCCGGTCCTGTTCGCAATGCACGCGGCACACTACTGTTTCGCACTCACACCCACTTACCTACCTGTGGCATGAGCGACTTTCCCCCATCCTCGCATAGGCTTGACAGTAGCAAGGAAAGACGAGCAGTGGCGCAACACCAAACGAATGTCTTACGAACCGCGACAGACGCGCGTCATATTCCTTCGCTTATACCACCCATGCTTGCCTTTGGGAGCGCGTTTTCTACCGCCACCCCAGGGTCCCACACGCGCTGATTCAATGGGGGCACCGCCGTATGCGTCGGTTCTCGCTTTGAGCCGTTGTGATGGTGCACATGCTTTCCAAGAGAAAAAACGTACAAAAACGTCCCACTGACCTCTGCCAACTAACGTACCAACAGGGGAAAGGGTGGTGATTTCTACACCATCCCGCAGAATTCTCTTGCTGCTTGTTCTTAGGTCCATCAGACACAAGCGGGGTAGCAGCTACCTATATTTAGTTCGTATTTCGCCCTGTCTCCAGAGGGCGACAGATATCGGGGGGAGTCCACAGCAGAATAGCAAGGCGGCAAAACTGTGCGTAGCGTGCCCGCGCATCTTCGCCCGCTTCGGGCGCCCATGAGCCACACTGGGAAAGGCGAGAAGAACACCAAGTTTCAGCAAGCCATTCCCAACGGCGCCAATGCGGTACATACAAAACGCGGAGCACCGGGGTACCAACACCGCTTTAAATGCCCGTGTTGTGGGTTGCTTTGCTTCGGATGCGTTCCTTCGGAGACACTGCTGTCGTTCGCTCGCCTCGCCTTCGCGCTAGAGCGCTATTGTAGCGCTGTCGATTGACAAGCAAACCGGAGACATGGAGTCGTAATAAAGACTGCTGCATAAGGAGCAGCAGTTTCCACCTCCTGCTGTCGATGGAGGACGTGACAAGCCTCCTTACTGCCTGCGTGCTCTCAGAGCACCCAAGGGCCCACGGAGAGAAACCATCATCATCACGTAGGCAGCACGAAAGGTATCGCAGCACCGTCAAAAGGGTTGGGACACCCTGTCTTGGCTAAGCTTCGTTGGTCAACTGGCCTACGGCCTTCCTTGTTCCGAGGGTGGTTGCGCACGATATGTACATACTGTCTAGCCTAGCCCATCAGACTTGGTTGATCGCCTACGCAAGATTTTAAGAGTATCTCAAAAAAGAATAGGGAGGGGGCACGCAGACCCTATGAATACTTCATACCACATAATCTTGCTGCGTAGACTGTGGATGGGTGAGCGCCCGCGAGCACAGCGGGCACGGAGAAGTAAACCCCGATTCCGCAGGTTGTGGTGTGGAGAGGGTGTTAACGAGACGGAGACAGCAGCAGCAGCAGCAGCAGCAGCAGCAGCAACAGCAAGCAGCAGTGTGTTCGAAACACTCCACACAAGCCGTGTGCCCGCAACCCACGCCAGCAGCAGTGTGTCCGCACCCCCATGCAACACATGAGGAAGAGCCGCCGCCGTCACATGCAGCCGTTTCGTGGGAAGATGAATGCCTACGCTGTTTGGCGGTGGCTGAGTTTCGTCCAATCTACACGGAGAGGACGGAACCCAAAAGAACGCACCTTCAGCCACTCCGACACCTCTCTCCTGGCGGTTGTCGAGCCGGACATGGTCTCTCGCCTGTTGGCCTGCTGTGATTCCGCTCTCGAGCACGAGCTCCTCTTCTCCGCCCTTGTGGGGACAGGGAATGATCTCTCTTCCAGCGAGCGGGCTCGCCTCACTCTCCCCACCCCCCCCCGCTCTTTTGGCAAAGGATCCACGCGGGTGTTGGTTGCTCGCCAAAGGTGTCCACCACCTGCTCTTGAGCCTGGCAGCCCACAGCAAAGGCACCACACGCAGGATATAATACGTGAGCGGGGTCGAAGGTGTCTGTTTGGCTAAACCTGTTCAAGTGAACACACAGACAGGCGGCTTCCAAGCTTCTCGATAAAAGGCTGAGGTGGTTACCATACACGTCGACACCCATCGGAGCTCGGAGGGCGGGGGGCATAGAGCTGCGGAGGGATGTGCCAATAGCGGGGAGGCCTGTAACAGCGGCGACTTCGCTGCCGAAATCCTCAAAAGAGACGCGCATTATCTCTTGTATTGGGATAGAGAGAGGATATGTAGATGTATGTCTCGAGGGCAAACGGATTTTCGAAAACACAAAACGGTGTTCGGGTACCAAGTCACGAGGAGGCTCACCGAAACTGCGCTGCCGAGGCCACGCTCCTCTTTCACGCACGCTTTCTGGCCTCACGCACACAACCTTAGCCTGTGTAGCTTCTGTCGGGTGGACTCTTCGTCTGCCCTTGGAGCGCCCAAGTTGGCCGCCTGCTCTGTTTCTCAAGGGGGCTCACGGAGAGCACACAGGGATGCACTGCTACCCCTCCCCTCCCCCCTCGACTGGAAATTTTGCCCATTTCCAGGTTTGGTCAGTAGGGCCAAATGCTGAGCTGCAACGGGTTTATAGGAACAACGGCGACTCACGTCTGGACCTGTTGCCCAGTTTTTGTGTTGCACTCGGTGGAGAAGGTGCCACCATGTGAACCTGGATGCCACACACCACGCAATTATCTACTCCGACGGAGCGGCGACGACTTTATGTAGTCAGAGATAACACAACAGTGAATTTCAGTGTCGTTGAAGTGATGCATTTGCTTCAAATAAACCTATAGTCTAAGTATTATTTCTCCGTGGTGAGAACAAGTTGGTGAGAACATACACTCTGCAAACCAGCAACGACAAGTAAAGGTGTTTCTCCCGCGAAAAAAAAATGCTGCTGCTGCAGTGCTCCTGCTGTACACAAAAAGATCATCAAATACTATCATACTACTACTACTACTACTACTACTACTACTACTACTACTACTACTACACTACTACTACTCCTGTGTTGGGATTCTGGGCAATTTCATTTCGGTGATACCTACATAGCTAACGGCAGCAGCAAGTGCCCAAAGCTAGAGTGGCAATCAATTATTAGCACGTTTTTTGGTTCAGGAAGTGCAGCTACACGANTATCATACTACTACTACTACCACTACACTACTACTACTACTACTCCTGTGTTGGGATTCTGGGCAATTTCATTTCGGTGATA